CACACACATACATCCACCCCCACACACACACACATACACACAAGGAAAGATCAGAGGAATTATTTTTAAAAGACACAGAGGAAAGACTTTGTAATTTCCAGAGATCATTAAGTTGAAGAGACCAGGTATTATTTTTTAATCATTCTGTTAAGACAATACCTTCCTCCATGGTAAGAACTGTCAAGTTTCCTTAGATAAATAATTTGTTTTACTGTGGATACCATGGATAATGATACGTGTATCTGAAGTGAAAGTGTTATTTGTTTATTCTCAACCAGTACCTGTAGCCCAGCTTGAAAGAAGAAGGCAGTCTCATGGTTACAGCAAGCAGCTGGGATCACAGAGAAGTGACACATTTGACTGGAATAACTGAAGGATTACTGTCTTTGTACCTGGCAAATTCTGAGCGGTTTTGTTTTGAGTGCAGTTGTATTACTATATATAATATATACTTATATATGTTATATATACTAGTTATTATATACATTTTTATATTATAACATAAAAGATTATTATCTTTTGTTGCTCAATAGCTGAAGACTAATATATATATATATATATATACACACACACACACACACACACACATATATAATACACACACACACACACATATATAATAGATATGATAGCCCTGCCTCATTCTTCCTAGAATCTTTAGAAATGCACAAAGGAAATAATTGAGTTTATAAAACAGATACAAAGTGCTCAACTCAAAGATTATTTCAATTGTATATTTGATAATTCAATAAGAAATGAGGTCTTGTGTAATATTCATAGTCAGCATTTATTATGTCTTAAGGGAAAGGCCTTTAGCATGGTATTTAAGCTTTTGATATTTAGCTTTCCTTCTAAATTGTTCATTCTTCCCATTTCTTTAGAGCAAGTTTTCAAATAGAATGGAAATTTTGATTATATGTTCCCAAGAAATACTTAAAGAATTTATAAAATATTATAAAAGAATTTTAAGATTATAAAATTGGGGTGAGTAGGGAGTCTATGACATGATACTATCACAAGGTGATCCCGGCGCAAAGCAGCCAAGGTCTGGCTTGGGTGGTGACAGCTAAGTAGGAGAGGAAAGCAAACTGGGTCCTTGGGGTCTTATACAGGGAAGGTAAGGAGAGCACAGAAGCCTCATATGCTGTGCAAATGTTCTTGGGGTCTCCCAGTAGACAATCATGGGATCCCCTGACAGCCACTGCCTATAGGCTGGGCAAGGAGATGTAACAGTTGATGAAGGTGAGTAGGATAACTGTTTTACCATTTGTAGAAATAAAGACAAGTTAATTTCAGGGGCTTAGTGGACCTGTCTAAGATAAAGAAGGAAAGCAGAAGCTTAGAAGAAAGTCAGTATTATATTAAGGAAAGCTATAACAATAAATAATGCTTGTAAGGAGAGAAAGTGCAGTACTAAAGAAAGCTATCAACATAAATAGGAAATTTAAAGGGAGAAAGAAAAAGAATTTAGGAGAGAGATGTTCCCTGCATCTGTGTGTGGCAAGGAAAGGAAGTGGAACTAAGGAGGAAGAGGAAGAACCAGGCAGTTAAGAGCAGCGTCAGGGAGGTCAGAGGCCTTTAGGAGCAAGAAGGTGTCTGTGAACCAAGGATGTGCAGAGATCAAGTGTAGCCCCTGGAGCGGCATTTGGGAGGAAACAGCTCGATGATTTGTAGCCATCAGTTTAGGCGGAGAAGTGGGGGCAGAAGCAGGTGAGAGGGGAGGAAATGCGTTTGTGGATGCAAACTATTTTCATGTATGTTTTCAATATGTTTGGTATTGAAACGAAGGTGAGAGGGAAGACGGCAGCTTAAATCAGGAAAGAGACTGATAACTGATGATTCAAGAGAGACAAAGATGACTGTGATATTTAATTGACTGTGTCCTGGAATAAGGGGGAGGCATTGATTTAAGGAATTTAACAGTAGAAATAGCCATGGAGAGAACAGAAAAAGTTCCAGAGATGGAGAGCACAAGCTGTTGAATTAAATATACATTTTTCTACATTTCATTTTCTACTCCACTGATTGGGGCTAACAATAGTGCCAACTTCATAAACTAGCTGTGAGGTTTCAATGAAATATTATATAGAAAGTACTTAATAAAGGGCCTGGCAAAGTGAGTGCTAAGTAAAGGTGACTCTTGCTGTTCATATTATATAAGGTATAAATTATAAGTGCTAAACAAGAACTATAAGAGGTGGAAGAAGAGATGGTGCTTTGTTGGGTCAGTAAGGGAAGATATGGGATCAAGTTGATATACTTGAGAAAGGATGGAACTTAAGGACAAAGATGGAAAGGAAATATGGGAGAAATAATGGTGGAAGAGGAGGGCAGTTTAAAGTTGAATGGCATTAAGTAAAAGGGAAAATTTGAGGACATCAATAAGATAGTTTAAAAATCTCCTTGTGGAGTTGCCCATAGTTGCCAATAAAGGTACAGGGGCTGTTACTATTTTACGCTGTGGCAGGCAAGCTGATCTTTTGAAGTCTTACTGGGGAGACTGCAGGGTGAGGAAGATTAAATGCCTAGACCTCTAAAGGGAATGGGGTTCCTTCCTCCTGGGAGTTCCCCCTCACCCCATTTCCTTGGCCTGACTTTGATCTCCCCATGGCTCTGTGCAGACCCCAGTACCAATGGTGTTAGCATATTGCTTTATTGGATAGATGATATTCTATTTAGCAAGCTTTCATTTATGCTTTATTTTCTGTTGTCCTTTCCCAGTTTTGCTATCAGATAAGTATAGCCTCATCTGAGTAGCTTTACAACCTTCTCTATAGCATGAAAGATTTGTATAATCAGTTGTTCTCTTAAAAATTTGCTAGGTTCACCTATAAATGTTGTGTCTCAGAGTTTTTTAGGGGTTATACTTTGATCCAGATTCTTATCTGGGACATTTGAGCTTTCTTGTTTTTTCTTGGATCCATTTTGTGTATGTTTCCTCTCTAGAAAATTGTTGTTCATTATGGAAGCTATGAAGTCTAAGGCAAACTGTACCCAGAACCCAAGTTGTACAATCATGACCTTCTACCCCACCGAAGAAGAATTTAATGACTTTTATAAATATATTGCCTATATGGAATCTCAAGGTGCATACCAAGCAGGTGTGGCCAAGATAATCCCCCCCAAGGGGTGGGAAGCCAGAAAGACCTACGATGACATCAGTGACATCCTAATCCCCACTCCCCTCCAAGAGGTGGTCTCAGGCAGGGCTGGTGTGTTCACTCAATACCACAAGAAAACAAGGCCATGATGGTCGGGGAGTATTGCCACCTGGCTAACAGTGCTAAGTATCAGGCACCACCACACTCGGATTTTGACGATTTGGAGCAAAAATACTGAAACACCCAGCTCTATGGTTCACCGATCTATGGCTCTGACGTCAACGGCCCCTTATTTGATGAAAACACTAAGCAGCGGAACCTCAGACACCTGGGAACCATTCAGGACCTGCTGGAGCAGGAGAGTGGGGTGGTCATCGAAGGCGTCAACACGCCCTACCTGTACTTTGGCATGTGGAAGACCACATTCGCATGGCACACGGAGGACATGGACTTGTACAGCATCAACTACATGCACTTCGGGGAGCCCAAAACGTGGTACGTGGTGTGTCCGGAGCACCACCGGCTCCTGGAACGCCTGGCAGAGGAGCTCTTCCTGGCCAGCGCTTCCGGCTGTGGGGCCTTCCTGCGGCACAAGTTTGCCCTCATGTTGCCCACTGTCCTCAGGGACAACGGAATCCCCTTCAGTCGGGTCATGCACGAGGCTGGCGACTTCATACTGACATTTCCCTACGGCTAATACGCTGGCTTCAACCATGGCTTCAACTGGGCGGAGGCCATCAACTTCGCCACACCTCGCTGGATCGATTATGGCAAAGCAGCCTCTCAGTGCAGCTGCGGGGAGGCCAGGGTCAGCTTTTCCATGGGTGTCTTCGTGTGCACCCTGCGGCCCGAGAGCTATGAGCTCCAGAAGCGCTGGCAGGAATGGGCAGCAGTGAACCACTCAGCGGCAGTGAACCACGCAGCGCCCGTGGCGGCAGACAGCCAGGAGCCGGATGCCTGGGAGCTGTGGGTGATAAGGATAGCCACGCTGGTCCTCCGGGACCTGCCGCCCTGCCGCGCGCTGCACCCTGCCCGGCAAGTGGCTGCAGGGCTAGGGGGCTGCCGCCATGGCCCTAGGCTCCCCGCCTCTCAGCGCCGCTTGCGGGCCGCTGCTCCTCCCTCTGCAGCTCAGGGCGAGGACACTGCTTGTAGGTCCCCGGAGCGCGGCTCAACCCTGCTGACAACCCTGGGTCCATCCGACCTGGGTCTCCACCCAACTGGCAGGCGTGGTCCTGGCTGTCATCCTCCGGAGCAGGGGACTCATGAGCTGACAGACGAGGCCCCGGCCAAGAAGCGCCTCTTGCTGAGCACAGCATGCGCAGCTCAGGATCCCCATGCTCAGGCCCTGTCTTCGGACGGACCCTCACTGGACAACACTGCACCGCCGAGCCCTCCGTCCCCGCATTCTGCTCAGGCTTCGGGGTGCTGCTGTGTCCCTGCACCCTAAGCCCAGGGGACATTTGGTAGCCCGCTACTCTTATGCGCGGAGGCTCCCTGAGACTGGGCACGTGTACACCTCAGAGACTTCCCAATGTGCGGTGCTGCCACGGGACCTGCTGAGTCTGCAGTATTTACGACATACAGCTTATTCTTCCTCCGAGACACCATTACGTCTATCAACACTGATGATTTCTCTGCTGCCAATGAGGTTTCATCCACTGGATCCTTGTCTCTGCAAATGAGGCCCACAGACACTGCCAAAGCCTGATCTGCACCTAAACCCCCATTCTCTCGGCCAGCTCTGGGTGCTGCTGCGATTTGGATGAATCCTGGACTTTGGTTCCCCTCTGATCTCTTCCCTTCCCTCTTTTCCTCTCCTCCCCACTTTCTTAGAAGACTAGGCCCTTTTGACCAGTTAGGTCTGTAGAGGTTCAGAAACTAATTATGTTTCTGAGTCACTGGTGCATTTAAATTGCATCACCAGTATTTTTTCAAAAGTATATTAAAGGTAACCAAAATGTTAAAATCTGATTTTATTTCTAGTGTCATCCATTCAACCAATTGAAGAATGAAGGTTATTCTTTTCTGCACTCTTCTTAATAGTTATATGAAAACATTTCAAACAGAACATTTTTATGGGCTGGTTATATTGTGTGATGTTGGTGAATGATTTGGGGGGATGCTTGTTGGGTTCTGGCTGGCTGGCTGGGAGGGGGGATTTGGTTTGCCAGCCATATCTAAGGATGACTTGGTGGAAACCACCTGGGAAACTGTGTACGTGGCTGGGCAGTGCAACCCAAGTTGCCAGGAGAGATGAGCAAGCACAGAACACAAGTGCCATTGTCTTTGCTCTGAGTCTCCACTTCCTTTTCAACACTATATATTTCACATGGTTAATTCATTGATTCATCCCAATAAGCAAGTCCACTACTAAATGAACATGACAACACCAATTGGCAACATGTGCTGTGAAGAAGTAAAGGGGATGGGATGACAGAGCAGAACAGGCAGGGCTGGCCTTCTGCAGGTGACCAGGGAAAGCGTCATGGAGCAGGAGACCTTCCTGAGACCCAGTTGGCAAGTAGGATGGCCCAGAGCTGACTCTCACTTAAAGGAAACAGCAAGTATAATAGACCTAATGTGGGACTTGAAGTTTTAGTTTCCTTGGGTATAGAAAGGAAGCTCATTTGTGTCTGGGGCAGAGGAAGAGGGAGGGAAGCAGGGTCTGAGGTATATAGGCGCTTGTGGTTCATGTGAAATATTTGAATTTTTTCAACTTGAAATGAGAAGGCATTGGAAATTGAGAACAGCACTTGACATGAAGTGATTTACACATTTAAACAATCATCTTACTTCTGTGGACAAGGTGGGGCAGGAGTAATAGAATATCTTAAGGAATATAAGTGAGAGTTACTTAGACTTAAGGATTAGTATTGAAATGCACTGAAGTGGACAGCTCAGAATCAACTTTGGATATGAAAATTTCTCCTAGGAAATTATTTTTAGTGTGTTCAAGGCTAGAAAACATAACCCTCCCATTAATGCAAGCTTGATTTGAGAGCTAATACCCAATTTCTTGATCAAGCATTTGTCATTTTAAATCTTGTGCTAAGAAAGAAAACAGAACCTCCCCAACTTTGCTCTGCCATTCACAGCCTAGATGGAATCACCTTGGCTTTTCGGAGGGTTCCAAAGAGTTGCTGTGAGGCAGAAAGGGGCCAAGTGTGAAACACTGATCTGGGGGTTGCAGGCCACCAGTTTTATCTGACTGTTAGATGCGAAAACCTGGGATCCAGAAAGGCAATAAGGAGAAAGTGATGGGTCAACTATTTGCATCAGGTTAGTTTAAATTAAGAAATCTGAGTGTAGCTTCCCAGCAGACAAAGCGATCATCAGGCTGACAATGTTGTAATCTGCAGGAGAGGCAAGAGTGACCATGCTTGCAGAAGGGCCAGGGGTGAGCCACCACAGGCTGCCAGGGTCCCAGCCCTGCTCCCCACACTCACCCTCCTGAGGAGTGGATGCCCATACCCGAACATCTGCCTGCTCTACACCCCTGAAAGGCTGTGTAGCTTATTCCTGGGGCAAGAAGGGGCCCTAGCCCAGGACCCACTTGGCAAATGAGGAGACTGAACCCAGCTCAGAACTGTCACTTCTATCAGACGGTACAACCTTTGCCCTGAAAGGCAGCTCCAGCAATTTCACTGGACTAAGCATCACCTTCCAGATGAGCAAAGGCAGGAGCAGGCACACCCACTGTGCAAGATTCCCACAGGTCCGTGCAGGCCTGGCCCAGCTCCAGACCTCACCTGCGGCACTCCTGCGGCCATCTGCAGACCCAGTTAAGGGCATGGGGTCACAGGCACTTGGGCAGCAGACTCCCGGCCCAGCTCAATGCCTTTCCCTGGGCCCACACATCTTTCCTAGAGCCCCCAGCCTACCATACACTCGGTTCGTTCTTTCTGCAATGCTATTCAGCTGCAAGAGAGAGAAGATTGCATGGGCCCACAGCCAGGGATTGGTGACTCAGAGGTGCCCATTCCAGGAGACAGCCTCTTGCCTCATGCCATGTTAGACAACAAGGGCCAGACCCTGGCATCTGCCAGCAGCCCACCCTCAGAGAATGGAAAGCTCTTCCACCCGCACCTCTGCTGTGTAGGTTTTATGTGACACTCGTTCATTATTTTTTTCTGCAGGACCATCTGCTCTGCAGACACTTGGGATGGGTTACAGGCCCATTTTCTGGGCAACCCTGTGAAAGCCACCTTACAGACTGGCAGAGTTGATGGGAAATAAAGATGTAGGTATATGCTTTCCACAAGAGATTTTAGAGGTAAGAACTCAAGAAGGTTGAATGTTATATATGGAAGATATTTCATGCAAATAGAAACCCGGAGTGACCTGGGGTAGCTATACTAGACAAAATGACATTAAGTAAAAGCTTTTATAAAGGAGAAACCAAGACATTATATGTTCGTGATGGGGTAGACTGATCGCGAAAACAAAAGTTATAAACACATTCCCCAAACATCAGCAGTCCAAAATTTCTGAGGCTAACTATGATAGCATTTAGAGAGAAACAGAAGGCTCAACAATAAAGTCTGGAGACTTAAATATCCTACTTTCAATAATGGATAGAACAGCTAGACAAAAATATAAGGAAATAGAGACAGGAGCACAGAACGTGTGAACAACACAATAAACCAATTGTATGGAATTGATATGTAGAGACACTCCACATGACAATAGCCAAATGCACATTTTCCTCCAGGGAAAGTGAAATTTCTTCAAGATAGATTACATGAAAGGCCACAAAACAAGTCTTAAAATTTAAAACAATGGAACTCATTCAACAATGAAATAGAAAAAAGAAAAACTGTGCATAAATCATGGAGCTGAAGAACACTGGAGCTGCATAGAAGAATTCAATGGAGAACTTCAACAACAAAGTTGACCAAGAAGTAAACTAGAAGATAGTGAATTGAAATTACCTGGTCATAGGAGCAAGAAGAAAAAGGAATGAAAGGGGTCCTTGATGTTTAAATACCTCTTTGACCGGGGTGCCCAGAGTTGAAAAGTAAGCATATGGCAGCTATTGCCTGGGCGGCCTTCTACCATCCAGTTCATGACACAGGAGGCCCAGGGGCACCCAAAATTTTCCTTGACCCACTGTGTTTTGCACTTTCCTGTTTGTTGAAAGGTGAAGCAGAGGGCCATGTGGGTAGGTGTCTCCTCATCAGGGCACCAAACTCGGTTAAGAGGAAGGGAAATTACGGACTGACAATTGTTAACCTCATAGAAAGCTGTCCCAATCGTCTCCTCTACCTGTCCATTTTCTATGGTGTATCTTTGGGTGGCCTCAAATCGATACCTGACGGGAGAAGGTGAGGCCACTCCACTATGTAGGAGGAGGAGTAGGACGAGGAGCCCATCAGAGTTGGATCCGTAGAGGTCCAACTCGTTCCACCTGCCAAACATCATCGGGGTGAGGGGCTCTTTTTAGTTGGGAAATATGGTACCACGCAGGGTGTCCCGATAGTTTGGCAGCAGTGGAGGTTGTGAAGATTACAGTACATGGTCCTGTCCAGCAAGGCTGGAGTGATCAAGGCTAGAGTTCTCTTAAAAGTACCTCATCTCCTGGCTGAAGGATCGCTCATTTTCTGGGTTGCTGGATGACGTAGGTTGGGGTAGGAGCTGGTCTGCGTGTTCTCTGAGAAGATGTCTCAACAGTGAAAAGCAAGGAAGGTAGGAGGCCAAAGGAGGAGAGGTAGCAGGCAGGCCTGTGTTCAGTAAGAAGGGCCTGCCATACATTAGCTCAAATGCACTTAGTCCAACGGGTTCCCGCGGGACAGCACGCAGTTGAGCGAGAGTGATGGGGAGAAGATTGGGCCATGAGAGTTTTACCTCCAGAGACAGCTTAGTTGGTCTCTTAAGAGACCATTAGCCCTTTTGACCTTACCAGACAATTGGGGTTGACAGGGTATATGGAGGTTCCAGGTGATATTGAGAGCATCGGCTGTTAGCTGAGTGACCCAGGAGATGAAGGCAGGTCCGTTATTGGATTGGAGTGAAGTGGGGAGCCCGAAACATGGAACGATGTGTTCTACCAGCACCTGCGCCATCACTGATGCAGTTTCTTGGTAGGTGGGGAAGGCCTCGGTCCACCCTGAAAAGGTATCAACCAGAACTAGTAAACATCGGAGCTTTTTATGCCTAGGCATATGGGTGAAATCGACCTGCCAGTCCTGTCCGGGGATCGTTCCCCTCATCTGGTGGAGGGCTATCCGGATCTTTAGAGCACCTTGAGATGAGACGCAATGACAAGTAGTGCAGGTCTGGTGTACCTGATCTATTGCCTTGTGGAGACCATAAGGGGCAAATATGGGGGACAGAAACCAGTGCATGGCCTCCAGACCAATGTGTAGAAACTGATGAATTTTGGATATGATATCTTGGCCTTGGGCTCGGGGGCAGGCAATTCGTCCCCTGAGGTATATCCATCCCTGATCTCCCAACATCCCTCCTTGATGTAGAAGCAGTCGCCATTTGTCATTAGGGTATTGGGGCAATAGAGAGGGGGAAAGAAACAGCACAGAGGGTTGGCTAGACCCGGATGTTGGGCCGTGGTGTCTGCCAAAGCATTTACCCCTGGTTACTGGATTGTTTCCAGTCTCATGCCCTTTACAATGCATGATGGCCACCTCCTTGGGGTCCTGTAGGGCCTGTAACAGGTGGCTGATAGCCCTGCCATTGATGATCGGGGTTCCCTTAGTGGTAAGGAAGCTCCTTTCCTTCCAAATTGCAGCATGAGTATGTGTAATTAGGAAGGCATATTTAGAGTCAATATAAATTGTGGCCCTCTTCCTGGCTGCCAGCTGTAACGCCTGGGTAAGAGCCACTAAATCAGCTTTCTGGGAGGTGGTCCCAGATGGGAGTAGGTTTGCTTCTATCACCTGCG